AGGAGCCCCCGACCAGTCCCCACATGCAGCCAGTGGAGGGACATCAGCGTCAGTGAGTTCCTTTGTTCGGGGTCACTGCAGGTCAGCAGTGAGGAGGTGGGGGAGGAAGGTATGCAGGCCGAGGCCCCAGACACCACCCAGGCCAGAGCCCAGGGTTGTTTGCCAACCCCCTACTGTGCTGGGCAAACAGAGCCCTCTGTCCCCAGGGCCCTGGGCTGGGACAGCGGCCCCCTGAGGCCCTCGGCCTGGGAGGGAGCAGGGCTGAGCCCCAGGGGTCTTCCGCAAGTAGGGCAACCCCAGGACCGGATGGAGTCAGTCCGCGGTGAATTCTAGCAAAGAGTTCTCAAAAGAATTCACACTGATGCTTTACAAACTCTTCCAAAAAATGTAAGATGAAGGAACTCACTCTCACAGAATCATTTTTACTTGTTGATACCAAAGCCAAAGACGTCACAAGAAAACACAGACCACTACCTTTATGTACAGATGTAAAAACTTTGACAAAATATTAGCAAAACAAATCCAACAGCACATAAAAATAGTGATTGCACCCCATGACGAGGTAGGTTCATCCCAGGAATGCAAGTGTGGTTCAACAAACAAAAACCAGTCAACATCATGTGTGTGTGTGTGTGTGTGCGCGCGCGCGCGTGTGCGCACATGTATGTGTGTATATGTACACACACACACTATATACATGCATTATGTTCACGGGATAAAAAAACACATATGATCTTCTCAATTACTGTGGAAAAAGCATCACCCAGAAAAAGATCCAACACCGTTTCATGCTAAACACTCAGCAAACTAGAAACAGGAGGGAACTCCCTTACCCTGGAAGAAACCCACAGCTGGCACTATATTTAAGGCAGAAAAACTTAAAACTTTCCCCCATCAGGAGCAAGACAATGATGTCTGCTCCTCCAACTTCTCCCCACTATCCCAGAGGTTCTCACCCCGGCAATTAAAGAAGAAAAAAAAAAAAGATCAAGAAGAAAGTAGTCAGCTATGCCTATTGGAAGGTGATACAACCTTGTACATGGAAAATGCCAAGAAACCCAGACACACGCAAACGTTAGAGCTAAAAACAAGGCCACAAGACTGTAGGATCAATATATAAAAACCAACTGCGTGGATCAATACGCACCAGCAAAGAACAGTCCAAAAATTAAATTAAGAAAACAGTTTCACCGACAACAGCCCAGCAACAGAGAGGCCTTCTGAAGGTCCCTGAGCCGCTGCCTGATACCTCGGGGTGGCCCCAGTGGGCATCTGCAGGGACAAGAATGAACGAAAGAGCAAACTTCTAGGGACCGGCAGCAACAGCCGCCATCCTCCACGTCTGAAAGCCAGGGTTTGGCTTTTCTACCACATGCCCCAGAGGGAGTCTGGGTGCTGGGGAACCCAGGCTCCTGGTCTCCGCTGTGCTGGGGGCCGGGCAGAGGGGGGATGGAGCTCCGGGGTCAGGGGTCCGCGGCGGCTGCGGGCTGAGCTGAGCCCCCGTCTTGACGTGGCAGCAGGACCCCCACAGGTGCCGGCGCCCCCGGGAGCACAGGTCCTGACAAGCCACCCCTCTCCCTCCGGAAACACAGTCTCCGCGGAACAGTGGGGGGCCGGGCCGGCAGGAGGCTCTGCCCCGACGCCCCCGCACGCTCCCCAAGGACCTGCAGGGAGGAGCACACACAGGCAGGACGCCGGGGCCGCCAGATGGAAAGGCAGGGACCCCAGCTCCTATTCCCAGCCAGCTCCAAGGGAGGCCCAGCCTGCAAAGCATCCAGGGAGGCACCAGGCACCCCGCGCTGCCCAGGGTAACGTCCACCAGGCCCGTGAGGCCGGCACCCCGGAGGGGCAGCAGGAAGAGCTGGGGCCAGGCTGTGAGCCCACCTGCGAGGGCAGAGGGCAGGGGACAGAGGGCGTGACTGCCCGGAACCTAGAGGTGGCGGGAGGGCAGGCCGGAGCTCGGGGGTCTGCCCACCGCTCCAGGTTCCTCGTCCCCAGATGGGCAGGCTGAGGCCCAGGGGCTGCGTGAGGGCTGTGGGTGCTGGGGCTGGGCTGCCTGCCTGGGGCCTGCACTGCATCCCCACCTGGAGAAGTTTCCTTATGTCTGTCCACCCTGCACACTAGAACCACACGGAGCCTTCGGGACAGCGCAGCGCCGGGTGGAGCCCGAGGTGGCCAGTCCTGCAGAGGCAGGTGCCAGCGAAGGCCGCGGGGCCAGAGGGGCGGGGTGCGTGCTTCACCTGCAGAGTGCCAGGCAGGGGCCTCGGCCGGGGGCACAGGGCCCGGGTCTGGTCGGCGGGCCGGGGGCAGACAGCGAACACTCCACATTTTTGGCAGCTGAAGGGCCTGGTCTGAACAGTTGCCTTTCTATTCCACAGAAGCCACCAGCTTTGCATCTCAGGGCCCTGCAGCGGGTGGGAGTGGATTCCAGCCGATGGTGGAGGGGTGCAGGGGGCGCTGCGGGGTGACAGCCAGGCCCTGCCCGTACTTCAGACCCCCAAGGCCAGGCTGGGTCCCAATCCCCACCCTAGGGGTGACCCTGGGTTCCTCCCTCAGAGCAGCCCCAGGGACACAGGGATGCGCTCTGAGCAAACAGCTTCCTGCCCGCTTGACCACCAGGTCTCCCTTCGGGAGCCCCTTGGGGACCCAGAAAAGACTCAGATCCCAGCCCTACCTCCCAGGGTCCCAGGCTGGTGAGGAGACACCCAGAAAGGAGCCGTGAGCGAGCAGGCGGCCCCGACGGGCAGGAGCTCCGGGGAAGCCCTGCTCTCATGCTCGGCCCAGCCCCACTGGGGAAGCAGGCCTGGCGGGCTGACGTCAGTGGTCCCAGGGTCCCTGTCAGCCCGCAGGTGCTCCCCTGTCTGAGACTACCTCTTCTTGCTCCCCCTCAGGATCGGGGGCCCCATGACTCCTTCTGGAGCGTCTGCTCTGGGCCAGGCCCTTACATTCACCACAAAGACCAGCACAGCCATCCAGTCAAGAGCAGGGAAACCACCTGCCAAGGTCACATGCAAGGTCGCCCAAGGTCACAGGGCCAGGTGGTCCTGTGCTGGAAGAGCCCAGCAGAGTCACGTTCCCAGACTCACGCTCAGCGGTCCCTAGCACATGGGCCGGGGTCTACAGATGGACCTTAGGGCAAACAGCCCTCCCTGGCCTGGGCAGCTCGGGGCACTTGCTCGCCTCTTCAGGCCAGGGGCCCACAAGGGACAGCCATCCACCGGGCTCCAAAAATGCTGGCTCCTTCACCTGGGCCACCCCACCCAGCCTGAGCCCCGAGACTCAGCTGTAATTTGTACCCCACGGAACAGACAGAACTGGCGAGGCCAGGGTGAGGGGTCACGAGGCCAGGGTGGGGGGGTCACGAGGCCAGGATCAGGGGTCACGAGGCCAGGGTGAGGGGTCACATGGTCAGCAGAAAGCACAGAGAGGCAGGGGGTACTTCCCAGCCAGGCGGGGCCCAAAGTCCACCCCAGGTTTCAGACTGCATTCTCAGAGAGGAATGGGGTGGGGAGGACGGGATGACATGCTTGGAAGGCAGGTGGCTGCGGTGCTTGCAGGGCTGAGCATGGCCCTGCACTCATGCTTTTGCCGGGGCTGCTGTGGGCAGCTCTGTGCCCATAGCATCCTCCCGCTCAGTAACTCAGCACCACAGAGGGGTCGCGGCTTCCTACCCACGTCCCGAGGCCACAGGAAGGGCCCTGCAGGAGTGTGTGTGTCCACAGGTGCGCAACCCAGGCAGACGGCTCTGACGGGCACTTCCAAGGCCCCCAGGATGGAGCCCAACTCCCTGCTTCACCATTTGACCCCTGGATGCCCCCTACAACAAGCATTCTGCACCCCAGCCCTTCCCAGGCTCTGTTTTGGAGGCCCAGCACCCCACTGTACAGCCACATCTTCCTTAGGGGGGCCTGTTCTCCCCATTTCTGTCTAGAGCTCCCAGGGAAATTCACAACAGATGGGGGACAGGGAGCTGAACCAGCCGAGCGCGCCACCTGGACCCCTTGGCAGTCGACGGCGCGGCCTCCCAGGAGTGCTGTGACAGGATGAACACTGGGCGGAGGCCAGAATTCAAGGCCTTCTGCCTTTATCTGGGAACGGAGAGCAGGCTGAGACCCTCAGTCCTGTGAGATGTGGTGGCCGCCCCCCACCAACATCCTCCCCACAGCCGCTGGGGGCCCCTCCCCTTCCCGGGCGTTCCTCTCCCCCAAGAGCACACCAAGCCTTTCTGCGCCATCGCTTTAATGGACAGACCATCAGACGCTTTTGCCCAAAGAAAGAATAACTGAGCAGGGTTCTGGGCATCTCACGGGACGTAAATACACAGATCACGTTTGTACATCTCACATCAGACACGTATCCACAGCACAGGATCGCGCAGCGCGCCGCTGCGGGCCACCACGCACTCCGCCGGAAACCCCTCCCGGGGCTGCACGTGAGCGGGCCCCGTGGGGCGGGGCCATGCCTGCGACCACGCCCCCACACGCTAGCTCAAAGGCGTCCTGCAGCCACACGTGGAAGATGCTCCTTAACGTGGAAGACTCCCCAGGGACAGGGGAGTCCCCGGACGCTCGCCGTCACCGGATACGGCCCCAGGGCAACAGAGGGGTCCCGACGGTCACTCGAGCTCCGAGACGAGGAGGACGGGGGCGGCAGGCCGCAGACAACACGGGGCTGACTCAGTTCGCAGGCGCAGCAGACACTGCAGTCCACACACTCCGAGGGATCTCCCTCGTCCACTTGGTGTCTGATGGGGTGCGCCGCTGCGTCTCTGTGAGGTCATGATGCCGGCACAGCTCCTCGCCCAGTCCTTTACATTCGGGAATCCCGGGGGCAGGCCCAGGGCACCAAGACCTCCTGGTCACCACTTGGAGTTCCAACACCCGGGCCACAGGCCGCGTGACGCCGATGGGCTGCGGCCACAAATGCTTTTCACCATGTATGCATTTTGGTGGGTTTGTTTTCTTTTGGTTTAAAAAAAAAAAACACCATGGCAGGCTCTCAGGTATATAAAACTTGGTAATATTAGACAAAAATACAAACTTCACCTTTACAAAAAAACAAAATCAAACAACAACACACCGAATTTCTGTTGAATACATGTAAAGCATAACATCTTACCAAAAATAAGAGTTTAGTTTCTGTCCGAACACTGGCAGCAGCAGGGAGCAAGCCCGGGCCACCGCTCGGGAAAGCCAGGTCCTCAGGCCCAGCCACGGCAGGCGGGGGGCTGGGGGACAGGATGTGATTGCTCCACGCAGTTCTCTCGAGATGGCTTAAATTAAAAGATGGATGAAACGGGGCAGGAAGAAACACGTAAAGCCAGAAACATTTAGGAAATGATGCACAGGTGGGTATACCATGTTTATTTTAATACATCTCATCCGCTCGCATCCTGCCAGGAAAGGTACCGTCCCACTGTCCTGTTACAGCAGCCTCGTGTTATCGGTGTAAATGTCATCCAAAGAGATAGTTAAGAAAAAAAAAAGCTAGGCCAAGAGTAAAAAGGAAAGCTGAATAATCACTTTATGATGTAAAAAAAAAAAATCCACTTAAGGCTCTCAGGGAGGTTTCTGGATAAGACTCAAACACTACGGCAAGGAGATGTGGTTTCCCAGACAGCCTTGGCTCCTGCGCGCGCCTGCAGAGCCCGCGGCCCCCGATCGCAGCCTTCAGAAAGCAGGCTCTGCATCCCCGGCAGAAGCACCTGTGACCACCCTGGACAGGGATCCAGTCCGCCGAGACGTCAGTCCTTCCGTCCCTCGGGGCGTCCCTCCATTCCGGCAACTGTTCAGATATTTTTGTGAGTTTTGTTTGTCGTGTTTCGTGGTTTTGTTTGCTCTCTCTCTTTTTTTTTTTTTGACAAGGAAGCGTCTTATTGTTTCACCGAGTGCTACAATACTTGCTTTGATGTCACATGAACAACGTATACTGTCTCTTTGTTCTCCAAAGCGTGCATGGAGACAGTTTTCACGGAGGAGAACAAAGACCACGCTGGCAGTAAGCACCGTACATAGTAGGTTCAGGAATGTAACACGCCATGTACATCCGTGTCCCGGGAGAGGGCTGCTGGCTGATCTTCACCTCACATCTGCGGGCAGGAGAGAGACGGACACTGAGAAGCCATGAACTCACGAGCGCCATGACAGCACGCACACGCACGCACACACGCTGCGTGGTAGCTTGCAGGATTTAAAGCCTTTGTTAAATTTTTCAAATCAGATATGCCCCATTACCCTTTCTGTAACATCCTGACCAGAACTGGGACTCAGCTCTTGGGATCTCAAAGAACACAGCTTCAGAGCAAGCCCCATTCTCCCATTGTACAGATAGGGAAAACTGAGGCCCAGAAGGGTTCTTCTGCTTTTCTCACCTTTCTCTTTCTTCTGGCCTACAGCTTGATGTGATTTCTGGTGCTCCGGGAGCCATTCTGGGCCATGAGGCAATCTTGCCACTTAATGCCACCACTGAGACACAGGGGTGGGTCTCTGTGACTGGGCAGGGTACATAGACCTGAGCTGATAGCAGCTCTTCCCCACCGTACACCACCTATCTGTTGCTCATCCCAACATTTGTGCCACACGCCAAGAGCCTGAATGCTAGCAGGGAGGCAGGGATGGGTCTCTCCCTTTGGGGTCTCTGTCATCAGCTGGCCCATGGAGGCTCAGCCCAGTGGCTGCAGATTGGGAAGCACAGGCAGGTACAGATCAGCCCCTACACACCCTCAGGACCCAAAGCCAAGGCTGCTTCAGGATCTGTCTATATGGACCCTTCCTCCCAGAGGAGCCCCCCAAGTGGACCTGGCCCACAGGCCTCAGAAGCTCCTCGCCCGGTCAGCTTCTACAGTTACACATCACGCAGCTGGGCCCTGGGTTCCCAGGCACCTGTTGCTAAGAGTTCCTCTCACAACTATTTGTCTTGGATGCCTTGGGCTCCCACATGCCCAGGAGCAAGGACCGGGCTCTCCAGAGGGAGACAGTCCAACAGGAAGGACCAGGAAGACTCATCACTGCCTCCTCCATGACAACTGCAGCTGCCCACACCCACCTCCCCGGGAAGCCCCTCTAAGGCCACTTTTCCCAGGCCCCCTCAGAGTGGAGGGGTGGCCAGTGAGATTAAAGCAAACGTCACTGGGTCCTTTCACTGTTCTCCTCACCACAATCTTTCTTACAGCCTGAAGTGTACCACGATTTCTGGAGCTGTGGCAGCCATCCCAGGCCACGAGGCTGAGGACGGACATCGCCAGCCCTGAAGTGGGTGTCTGACGACACTCTGAGACTGCCATACCTGCTCTGGTCTCTACCTTACCTCGCCCTTATTTCTGCTGTGTTGTTAGCAGCCAAACACAATTTCCAATACAGCAGCCAACAGCCCTATGTGTTTACAAAGCATTTCAGACAGGATCTATCCAGCCTTTAACAAGTCTCATCTGTGATCCTGGTAAGCCTCAGTTTTTCCATCTGTCGAAGTAGTGGGTAAGCTGTCCGCGTGATCCCAGCAATTAAACACGGGAGCTACGCCACTGCTGCTCAGGGAGCCCAACTCACCCCGCGCCTATGATCTCTGCCTCCCGATCAATGAGGACCAAAGCCAGAGCGGGGGCCCTGGAGCAGGAGGGGGCTGGGGGCCAGGCGTCCCGAGCAACAGGAGAAGGGGCAGAGAACAGGAGCGCAGAGTCCCGCAGCCCGGCCAGACAGACAGCGGAAGCTCGCGGGCAGATCAAGGCCAATCAGGGCGCGTCCTCGCCTGTGAGTGATTCGCCGAATGATCGGGCGCTGCGCCTCCCACGCCAGGACGGTGGCGCGGCGGGCAGGCAGCTCCTACCTGGTTGGCCACGTTAGGTGGGTTTTAACTTTTTTCTTTTCCGTTTTTTACCTGACTCCCTACGCCTTCCTGTTGACAGAAGGGCAGGAAGGGTGAGTGGGCCTGAGGGAGGGTATGGGGTGGAAACTGAAGCAATAAATACCTGGGGTGTTTGTCTTTCTGTAAAACAGCTCGACGGCGCTGGCAGGGAGACACTTCCTGGTCTCGTGAGCTGGCCCGGTGCGGCGGTCACAACGCCGGGCTGCTCAGGGCAGTCTGCCCGAAAAGGCCAGGTCCCCGAGCGCCAACGCTGTGGCCAGCGCCTGCCACCCGCCAGGGACGGGCTGCATCTCTCTACTTACCACTGGGGCTGGGGCAGGAGACAGGCCCTCACAGCAGCCTGACCCCTCCCTCCAGGCGCGTGGCCATGTCCCTGCGATGCCCTCGGGGGCAGCGCGCCACCCCACAGCAGGTCCCGGGCCGACAGGCCTCAGCTCCAGCCCCCCGACCCTGCCGCCCCCCAAGGCCACTGGACGAGCCCACAGAAAGCGGGCTCGGCGCCCCCAGCCGACGGCAAGGACTCACCCGCCTCCTCCTCGCGGTGCTCAGGGCTCGGGCTGGTGCTCGCGCACGTGCACTCCAGGTGCTCCTCCAGCCGCACCTGCACCTCTTTTAACTTCGCCTTCTTCCTGAAGTATTCCACCTTGGCCACCTGCCGAGAGAGCAGCGCGGCCGTGGACGAGCAGCACTCGGGCCCGGGAGCCGAGACGACCCCTGACCTCTGACCTCCTCCCAGTGGGAAAAGTGGGGGCACCAATGAGGAAGCAGTGAGACCCGGTGCGGCGTTTGTGGTTTGGTCCCATTTTGCCTTGAGCCCAGAGGCTTGTGCACACCAGGAGAGGCCCTGAAGGGTGCCCTCGAAGGGGAGCTCCAGGTGAGGGAAGGAGTTTCCATGCTTCAGGGACACGTGGGACAGCCAGAGGTCAGCAAGGTGCGCCTGACCGTAAGCAGCCGAGGACCAGGGCAGCCGCTCGAGGCCCGGGGACCATCCTCCCTCCGGCCCAACCCCGAGCCCCGAGAAGCAGCAGGAGGCGCGGGCCCACGTGGGGCTGTCGCTCTGGCCTGGTGGGGCTCTAGACGAAGATCCCTCAGCCGCCTGAGGCAGGGCCGGGCCCAGCCCTGCAGCCTCACCCAGCTCCCAGAACGGCCCCCAGGGACACTCTCTCCATCCCTCGCTCTTCACCCAGAGACATGGGGGGAGCAGGGCTCGGCCAAGATCCACCTCTGGCACTTGGAGGCCCAGGGGAAGCCTGGCTCATGGGCCACAGCTGATCAGGGTGAACAGGACCCCAGGCCGCAAACAGAAGCCTCCAGCCTGGGACAGTCCTTTACAAGGAGCTTCGAGGCCAGAAACTGGGGGACCCTGGGCAGAGGGTTGGCCTGCACTCCGGTGGCCGGGCTGCCCACCCCATAGGTGAGCAGGCCCGGAGGCCCATCCAGACCTGGAGTGGCCACCTGGCCGCATGCATTAACCGAACAGAAGAGAGCCGGTGGCCCGCCGGCCATGTGAAGCGGCCGTGGCTCAGACGGGGTCAGGAGCCAGGCTGGGTTTGGGGCCAGGCCCGGGGGTTTCCCAATTCAAGACCTCGAGACCAGGGAGAGAGGAGGCCTTGCCTTCGGTGGGAGCTCCTGCGGGACGTCTTCACCCAGGGCGGCCTGGGGCTCGGCTGCCCCTTCCCCTGCCCCCTTCCCCGGGGAGAGTCCAAGAGCCAGGCATGTGGGCCATGTAGGCAGCCAGCCTCTGCCTACCCATCTGTAACGTGGGAACAGATCACACACACCAGGGGTCACGGTGAAGGACAAACAGCTCACACACACACAAGTGCCTGGAACTGGGGTCACTGTCCAGAGGCCACCGAAGTTGGCACCTTTGCACAGAGCCTGTCTGAGGCCCCCATCCACAGAGGCCAGCCTGCCGGCCCAAGCAGTGCTGCCCACTCCCCTGGGGCTCAGGCAGCGGGCACACAGGCCAGCACCTCACCCTGCCCTGGACCCCGCTCAGTGCCCACATGCTTCCCGCCACTCTGGCCTCTGCTGGGGGACACAGGGCTTGGCCCTCTGGACGGCACACCTCTGGCCAGTGGGCACCTCCCCGGTATCCTCTGCAGGGCAGGATGAGGACCCAGGCCCCCATGGCCGGCGTGGGTGTGGGGGAGGGGGAGGCTCGCCACCAGACAGACCGCCTGGGGAACAGCGCTGGGCCCAGGAGCACTGCCCCAGTGGGCCCCCCAGTGAAGGGTGCACAACAGCGGCCACTCCAGTCTTTAGAGAAAAATCTTGTTTTTCTTATCACAGAAAAACAAACGGATTCATGGCTGCACCTGCTTCTGTGTATGCAAGGATTCCAGGCCGGTCCACCACCTCCGTCTGGCCAGGAAATGGCTACATTTTTGCCCCAAGAACGTGCTGTGAATATTAAATTCTCAAAAGCATCCTCTGCTCTAGCCAAGGCCATGATGAAGATGCTGACGTCCTTGGAGCCCCACCCCCAGACCTACACTGCAGCCTCTCGGAGCCCACACCCCATGCTCTCCCCAATGTTTGTCTCGGCCGCTCCTGAAAAACCAGACACTCGGATCCCCGCCACGGAGCTGCCCCACCTGCGGGGTCCCGAGCCAGACCCACCCGAGCACACCACCCTCGATGCCGTCAGCCTTCTGAGCCAGGCCTTGGGTTCCTGCGCCCGGCAGCCCCCATGAAGCAGGACACCCCAGGAGGGCCCACACCCTGCAGGGCCCCCCACCAACCCAGGTCATCCGGAATAAACAGCAGCATCTCCTGAACCCCACGGGCCAGACCCGTGACACAGCAGCCTCGAGAGGGCACGACCACAGCCCATTTCACAGACAGAGAAACTGAGGCAGCACAGACAGGGCCCGGCTCACTGGGAGGGGCCCTGGACTCGGAACCAGCAGCCGAGTCCCCTCAGCCGGGGACGTCCTCAGTCCACTGGGGGGGGGCTGCTGGGGCCCTGCAGACCCCCGTCCACTCAGAACTGAGTCCGGCTCCCAGGGTCACGACAGACACTGACCTGGCTCCCAGGCGGGCGGCAGGAGGTGGGAGGCCTTCTCCAGGCCCAGTTTAGCGGCCACGGTGGCTGGAGAAGAGAGCCCCAGCTCCAGGGCCTGGCGGCCGATGGGGTCTGGCCTCCCTGACTGACCAGGGCTCAAGACGGGCAAGCAGTGGGCGCCTCCCACTGCGAGGCAGGGACTCAGGATCCCGGCACCAAGACATGCTGCCAGACCCACTGCCTCACCCTCACGGCCCCGACCTGGCTCCGGGAGCAGCAATGGCCGATGCGGCCCCCATGGGGACCCCCACCCAGAGCACAGGCCCCTCGTCCACGAGGGGTGCAGAGGCTGTCCTGGGCTTCCCCACGGAGACATGCCAGGCCAGAGGCCAGAGGCCTGGCGAAGTAGGACTGCAGTTAACTGCCCATGTCTAGAGGCCTGGCCCACGGCTGCCCTGAAAGCAGGGCCGCCCCATACTCCCAACACCGGAGAGGCTGGAGGCCCACCCACTGGCGGCGGCGGGGAGCCACTCCTTCAGCCTGAGCGACCGCTGCCCATGCCCAGCTACCCCGTCCCCGCCACGGAGGCTCGGGTCTAGGGGCGAGGTCTGTGTCTCAGCCTGTATCAGGGGGCAAAGTGCTGACCTTGCTGAGCAGGGTGCAGGGGAGGTGGCCGGGACCCCTGCCCACATGGCAATACGGTGGGTCTACAGGGGCTCCGGGGTCCATGAGCCGCCCCCAGGGCAGGCCCTGGAGGTCACAGGTCCCCAGGGAGCTGTGAAACCTCTGGCTGCCCTCCACGGAGGTCGCAGCAGGGCTCTGGGGGGCAGGCCACTGGCCCAGGCATGTCCTGACCCCAGGCCCGGATCCACCTGCAGCTGAGGGTGCCCGCCTGGTTCAGTCGCCCGGGAGACCGACCCGGCCTCCCCGCCCTCTCCTCCCAACAAGGGGCCTCGGGCTGTGCATCGTCCATGACCCCCAGCGCCCACCCCGCGCTCAGTCTGGGCCCCGAGGACCCCCTCTCCACTTGGCCTCAACCCCAAATGGATGGGGTGGCCCCTGGCCAGGCCAGGGGGTGGGTGCTCCACAATGGGCCCCCTGTTCCCACTGGCCTCCGTCTCCTCCTGCCAGAACCCCAGGGCCTGGGGCCGGATGTCTCTTTGCCGACCTCCTGATGGAGAGGGGGTGGGTGAAGGCGTGCGGGGCACCAGACGGGGGGCCGGGCTGCCAGGCCCCACACAGTGGGCTGACGCCCCCCTCCCCGGGCAGACATAGCCCAGCTCTCCCACCTGCTGGTCAGGCCTGTGCCCCAGCAGACGGAACCCCCACCCTTAGCCACCGAGACCCCCAAGGAGCTCTGGCCACCTGCCCTCACCCACCGAGACCCCCGAGGAGCTCCGGGCCACCCGCCCTCACCCACCGAGACCCCCAGGGAGCTCCAGACCACCCACCCACCCTAAGGACGGACCAGGGGAGACAGAGGGTCACTGCTCAGGCCGGAACCAGACCATGGGAAGCAAGAGTGGGAGCCGTGGGGGACCTCAACGGCTGGAGCAGACAGCCGGCTCCGTTTCCGCTCCCCTGTACCTCCAGGCCCCTGCCGCTGGCCCGACAGACAGGCTCCAGAGTTCACAAGCAGGACCATCTAATCTAGGGCACCCCACCCCCAGGCCCAAGAGACAAAGACCTCAGCTCTGTGGACTCCTGGGGCTCCTAAGACCCCTCAACACACCACAAGGAGGGATCCCCAGACCCAACAGAAGCCGAGGAGGCTGGGTTGAGAGCCAGGGCCGCAGCTGAGCCCGCAGGCAGGCATCAGGCCTGCTTCCTCCTTGAACTGAGGAGGACGCAGCAGCGGGGCCCCCTACCCGGAGTCTGAGGCCTGAGGCGGGAGCCAGCGCCCCAGGCAGGCACTCCAGGGCACCTTGGCCCCAGAGGAGTGTCCACCTAAGACCGCAGGCAGGCAGCCAGCTGTGGAATCCGCTTACTCAATCCCCAAAGCACGCAGAGGACCAAGTCCCCGAGGTCAAGTCAAGTCCCAGTTAGAGTCTAAAGTGCTTCTCGCGTGCCAGCTACAGGGTCCTTAACTCCACACCTCACTCTGTAGCCAGAAGCCTGAACTCAGACTTGCAGGCTATCTAAAATAATTCCCAGTGGAGAAAAGAGTTCTACTGCACCCTCGGAGCGGAAGTCCGCGTTCCAGGAAAACTGGAGGCCCGGCTGAAGCGGGGNGGGGGGGGGGGGGGGTTGCTGCTCCGTGGGGATGGTACCAAGTCCACGCCCCAGGGACCACGACCCACCCAGAGCCAGACCTTCCGTGGGGGCGGGCAGTCCCCGTGTCCCAGACCCACTCCCCAGAAGAGGCAGGTGCGGCCCGAGGAGAGTAAGCCCAGGCTAAGAAAGGCTTCCAGATGTAGGGCCGGAAGCCAGACCCTAGTTTAGCTGCCCAGTGACCTGAGGAAGCAGAATTTCCCCCAGATTCAGAGGACGAGCCCCAATATGTGTCCTTGGAACCTGCAAGACCCCATGATGCCCTTAGTGGTCAAACCAGCAAGCCTCCTGACTGGGAGAAGGCTTCGCAGTGAGCACTGGCCGTGTACTGGCTCCTAGGAGCCCAATACAGGAGGCAGAGACGTCTGACCCAAGCCGCTGGGCCTGTGGGTCTCCACGCAAAGCACACCTTTCTGAAACAGGGGGCGACCTGGCTCCCAAAAGGACGCCCCTGGCTGGTGCTCCATCAACACGCACGTCCAGTGGAGAGGGGCACCCTCCCAGGTTTCACAGGGGCTGGAGGTCTAGCATGACGGGCGTGTGCCTGGCCCTGCGGCCTTAGTTCTGAGCCAAGTTCTGAGCCATGGTGGGAGTCAGCATCCCCAACCGGCCCCAGCCAAGGGCTCCCTGCTGGCCTCAGTGGGGAGAGGCTCTCAGGGGATGCCCAGCCCCCTTGCCACGCACCACAGCCCCCACTAAAGTGCCCAAGAGATCCTTCCAGGGCCTGGAGGAGACACCAGGCAGCTCTCAGCTAAATGGCTGGACACCACGCGAGACCTGTTGGTGAGGCAAACAACCAGGTCATCCCAAGATTCAAATGTGTTTCCCATGAGAGGCCCTTGGAGGGGGGCCTGGACGCCACCCTTAAAGCACCCATCAGGACCCAAGCCCCAGTCCCGCCCCGGGCCTCAGTGTGCCCGTCAGAGAAGTGGACGTGCTCCCCGCCTCCCGGCCGCAGCGGCCGCCGTGGCCAGGGACGCGCAGGCTCACCTTGACGCTGCGGTGGTGCACGCGCGACGGCTGGCACTTGACGCTGCTTGTGTTGCAGCAGCCGGTGCAGCGCTTCACCTCCACGCACGGCGGCCAGATCAGGAAGTTGGCGGACGTGGGGTCCACCTGGCTCCGAGGTATCTCGTAGATGACAGTCCTGGTCTTGCAGACCGCCGGGATGGCCTCCTCTGCAGAGATGAGAGGTGGGTGAACATACTAGAAGCCCCAGGGCTGTGGCAGCTCCCAGGGGTCCAGGCAGGATTGACCCACGGCTTCTGCCCATGGGACATGTCATACAGACCCCGGTCCAGCACAGGCAGAAAGACCCCAGCCCCCAACTGCGTGCCGCTGACTGGCCCAAAGATGAGCAGTAATTTGAGGGCTGGGAGGGGAGACCCCAGAGGGGCAGGGAACTACAGAGAGCCTCCCTTGGGGCGTGGGGGCTGGAAAGGGGCTCACACAGCCCCTGAGGCCAGCTTGGAGCTGGGACACCGCCTTCACTCAGGGCGGGGGGCGGGGGCCCGGTTCTCACCTGCCCCGCCTCCCAAGGGCCCCACCTCTCACAAGCACATTTTCATTGGCCCCCAAGTCAACAGCAGGAAGGGGTCCCGCTCACAGTGCCCAACCCAGCGCCCACCAGCAGGAAGGGTGTGGGGAGGCCAGCCGGGCAGGGCTTCAGTCCAGTTCCAGTTCCGCTCAAGGGCAGACCCCCGTCAGCCCCACAGACTCGAGGCACCACACGTCACCTGGGAGGGCCTGCTGGCCTCAGCCAGGAATCGTCTACCCACACACCGCGCCCGAAGGTAGAAGCTATAAAATCCATATTCTTGGAAAGACAGCTCAGACAGGGAGTCAAGGCCCAAGGTCACACGGAGGACGGGCAGCTGTCAGGACCCCCAGGTGGCACGGGACCGGGTGGCCACACCCCCCAACTGCACCCCCGGGGCAAGGTCTCCCCTCAAGGCCGAGCCCGAGGCCCTAGGAGACCTCCATCAGCCAGTCACTCCTGAATGGGCCAGGCAGACCCCAGATGCTCAGAGCGGGGCCAGGGGGCCAGGCCTGCGGGGGCTGGGGACCCCAGAAAGGGACCCCAGGCCCAGCATGGCTGCACCCACCACACCGCAGGGCAGCGGGGAACACTCTGCGCTCGATGTTATGAGCTGCAAATTAAACATGACCCATCCTCCAGCGAGGCTGCCTCCAGCACAGGTCCCAACAAGACTGGGCACTTCAGGAATTTATGATGGCTCCCCGCTTCTGGAAACTCTTGGCCCAAGCCAGGCCTGCAGTGGGGAGCGGGTGGGCCGGGGTGGAGAGGGGGGCGCGGGGCCTGCGCAGCACAGAAGGGGCAGACCCCACGTCCCGGTATGGGGGCACATCCCCGGAGCCCCTCCACAGGCCCCCAGCCCGGGGACTCACCGATGCTCCTTTTCCTCCGGATGGGCACTGGCCGCTTCTCCGGAGCATGCTTGGAGCCGTGGCCCCCGTGGGCTCTCAGACTGGTTTCCAAAGGCTCCTCGGCTCCTACAGGAGAAAGAGGAGATGCCGACTGGCTGCCCACACCCGGGCCTCTGGGGCCTGCGCAGCAGCACACCCCGCCACTCTCCTCCTTACAGAGGGGGTCCCTCCGCACCCACATGGGGGGCCTCCAGACGTGCGCAGGATGAGACTCCCAACTGCCAAAGATGTCCCAGCCGCCCCATGCAGCTGGCACGAGGCTCCTGCCATGGGCGCCTGCCCTGCACCCCACCACAAAGCTGCATGCCAGCGGGGAAGGGCCAGAGGCCAGCCCACCTGGGACGCCTCCTCAGGGAAGCCCGGTGAGGGCTGACCCAGGGGAGGTGCCTGAAGTCAGCCCGCCCCGCCTGCAAGGCCGAGCCGACAGGCCTGCTGCTGCTTGCTGGACAGCGCACCTTGGACAGCGGGCTGGACAGCAGACTGGACTGCGGGCCCGGCTGCGGCCGCAGCTTTTCTACCACCTCTGCCGCCCTCACTGGCCCAATCCTGGCTGAGCATCCGGCCCTGCAGGGGCATCAGAAGCAAGGCCAGACTGGGCCTCGGTCACACCCCACTCGCCCCTGAACATCAGCCCACCATGACAGAGAGGCCACGAGAACCTGGAGCGGCACGTCAAGAATCCGGTGCCCGGTGACAGGACATGGCTCTCAGGAAGTAAAGTGCTTTGAGCGGCCCCAGAGCCAAGGTCACCACTGGGCCTAGAGCCCCAGGCTGGCTACAGCCCCCTCAGTACACACACCACCACTCACTCTGCCCCCAGGGCCCCCCAGACAGGGCTCGGAAGGGACACACACCTGCCGTCTGGCCTGACCCCGCCCAAGGACAGCACCTGAACCAGGATGGAGTGAGCCACACGTGGCTGCACCACCCTGGCCCTCAGACCCAGTGGGGGATCTCCCCACTTCTCCCCTCCATCACTGCTTCCCCCACAGTTAACCAGGGACAGTGGGGTCTGAGAAAGCACACCTCAAGGGCCACAGCTGCCCAACGATCCCGTTCTCGGCACCTCCCCTCCCCAAGAAGCTCCAGTGGTATCCCGGCCACGAACCCAGACCCGAGGACCACCCCCTCCCCGATGCGCAGCACAGAGGCCTTGGAGACTGTCCTCACGCCCGCAGTCTGAAGCTGCACTCACTAGAAGCGAAGCGCGAACAGAAAACGCAGCAGGAACACAAGATGCACCGCCTTGCACGCCGCCGTCCTGGAGAACCCAGCTCTTCCCTCAAAATGACTCAATGTTCCACTGCCACTAATTTTTTCTGAGACTCAAAATAAGATCAGAACAGAACTACTCATGCAGTAAGAATTTCCCATCCACCAACTGTTACAAGAAGCATTTTTTCACGAAAAAAGTGACATTATGAGTCACGTCCTGGTGGTGGCCATCTTGCCATCGCCAAGCCCGGGAGCAGCCGGTCCATCCTCAGCTTACAGGAGACAACGAAGGGCAGCAGCCCAGGCTGCACTCCACCCCGCGCTCCGGCCAGGCAAGAGCGGCCTTCCACGACATCATGGGGCTGCCACCTCTTCACCTCGGAGGAAACTGAGGCCAAGGCTCGGAAGGACAAGCAAGACCAATGGCCAGCAGGAGACCCCAGACTGCCTGCCCTCCCACCCAGGCCTCTTGCCCCTGAAGAAGCAGAGAAGACAGAGCCTCCTGGTCCATCAACTGTTCTGAAAACTGAACCCAGGACTCAATCCCCAACAAGAGTAGAAAGAGCCCCCAGTCGGACAAGCTCGTCGGCTACCCTATGGAGACTGGTGGTCCGGAAACCCAGCCCAGACCTCGCTGATGGGGAGGTGGCCCTCTGATTTATGCGGGTGGAGATGCAACCGGCAGGGATTCCCCCACCACTCCCCCAAGAGAAGGCTGCACATGAATCACACCCGAAAATGGCTCTCAGGACAGTTCATCAACTGGTTTTCCCTTCTGCCTCTTTTGCACAGATGTCCGAAGAATAGAGAGCCGTCTTCCAGCCGTCAGTCCTGGAGGAGCATTAATGGCCTAATGGGATGATATTTATGTATCCTTACTCAATGGACACGGGCGCCCGGCCAGGCTTCGGAGAACAAAGCTCCCAGCTCCCAGCTCCCGAGCGGCTGAATGGTCTGCTCTCAGACACCCGACACACAGGCCGCAAACTCCATGCTACTGGTCATTAAAAGACCACACGCTGGACCCGGCACCCAAAGGTCACACGTGAAAAATCAACTGTCCAGTCCGTGAGCGCGCTCAGAGCGCGCGGGCGCGGGCAAGGAATCCACCGCCTGCGGGCCTGGGCGCAGCGCCTCACCTGGGAGACGGGAACGGCCCGGCCCCTGGAAGCCACGCCCACCTGCCAGTCACGAGGCCCCGCCCCAGGAAGGAGCCACTGCAAACCCGTTTCTTTTCCCGCTCCCAGGCATCAGTCTCCAAGAGCTCTGCTCCGAGCTATAGAAGGAAGGACACCTAGGCCAACGGGTCTTCTCTGCACCCAGCCGCCTCTTCACTGATCCCACCTCTGGCTGACCCTGGTGGGGAGTCCTGGGCCTGGAGAAGTAACCCCACAGCAGTTTACAACCTTTCCTAGCAGTGGGGTCCATTTCTACTCTTCACTTGGGGCAGAAACAGAAGTTGGGGAAGACACCCATAGCCCCAGTCCACTCCTGCAAAACAAGCTACAGAAGCAACCAGCTCAGGTCAGAGCTATGAGAGGGGGACCACCCAGAGCTCTGATGAAGGAGCCCGTCATGGGGTTGTGTCACAAAGGGTCCCAGAGGGACAAGGCTACTGAACAAAGGAGACCCTGGGGCCCCTCCAGTGTTCTCAGCCCAAAGCTCACAGGCACTAGAAGGCCCCTCTCAGACCCCAGCTACCCCAGCAGGTGGCGGAGGGAGAGAGGTGATCCTCTCCGTCCACTCCCTGGGGCTGGAGGGAGCCAGGCCCCCAGGGCTTTTAATCAGGGGGTGATTTGAAACCAGCCCGGAGAGCCTGCTGGTGCAACCTTGCTTCTTCTATTTGGACCCTCCAAGGAGGCCACGGACTCAAAAGTCCCCAGGTCAGGAATGCTATCAGCATGACCCCAGAGCTGCAATGCTAAAAGCATTAATGGGTGGGGGGTGGGGGGAGGCGGGGCTGCAGAAAACAGAATAAGAATGGTCCCAGCAGAAAGTGAATGGCCCATTTCCCCACCAAAACCCAAAGCAGGTCCTGCGGGGAGGCCCAGCCTTTCCCAGGGAAAAACCTCTTGGGAGCCAGTCTCCCCATTTCCCAAGTCCATCAGGGAGCAGCAGAATGCAGGCAAGTGTTCTCCTCAGCTAACCAAAGCCAAACCCTTCTCCCCAGGGTAACACATCAAGGAACCAGATCAAAATCCGCCCTCCCCCCCACTCTGATCTCCAAGTGAAATTCTACCCCCCTTCCTGATAAGGATCAGCCAAAGGATTTCCTGGGTCAAGAAACTACAGAAACCATCGCCCTTGCTAGAAAATGGTTTTGGCATGAAATGAAAATAGTTCAGGCCTCTCCACCACCATAATTAGGTACAAATTTCCAAATGACTAGACCATGTGATTTTACTTAATTCCCCCACCGTCCCCCCTTTTTAGAGTAGTCTGCAGTCGGAGAAAAATCTTCATTCCACTTAAAATTCTCCCAGCCAACCCCGGGCTAACTTTGGTTGCTCCATTTGACAAGCTCACCTGGGGCCCCTTTTTGTCCAGTCAACAGTAAGTTTTCTGACGTGAGTATCTCCCTAGCTAAACTCACAGTGGAGTTCCTGCCACAGAAATGCGGGGCCCTGTCCTCTAGAAAGAGCTTCCTCTGGTCCACAGGCAAGCACAGCCACCCAGCATCCCCAGGCTCCCAGCCAGGCCAATGTGGGTCGTCAGCACCTCTGCCCACCTGGGGCCAGCCCACCTCTGCAGCTGACCCACAACAGCTTCAGAAGTCTGCTTGACACTTCCTAAAGCGGCTCAACTCCAGGGCCTGGCGGGGGGGGGAGCCCCCAAACAGCAGCGTGTCCAAGACGCGCCTTTTTTATTGGCTCTTGAAAACAGAAAAACACAGGATTCAACAACCACAAAGGCCTGGCCCAGCAGTAGGCGCAGGGCAAGTGCGCACGGATGACAAAGGGGCCCTCGGTGGGGCGGTGGGGGGCGGCACCGAGCACCAGCTTGCGCCCAGGTCAGGGCTCAGCGCCCAAGGCTTGGGCTGGCTCCTCCCGGCCGGAGGGCAGGTCCCGGACCGCACACCTGGCCGGGACGCCGGCGCCCTCTATGTGGCTTAACTTTCTGAGACACATTCGGCATTATCCTTAAAGCAAAAAAAAAAAAAAAAACAATCCCTGGGCGAGTGAGCGGCCCCGGCCGCCTCCGGGAGAGAAAGTGGTGATTGGAAGAGAAACTCCTGACTCATCCGCCTGGGCTTTTATGGCCCGGGATTGGATTCTGACCTTTCGGTGCGCTCCTGCGCGGCGCCCGGCCCGGCCCGAACGCGGGAGGCGGCACGGGGCGCACACACAGCCTGCCCGCCCGCCCGCGCCCTCCCCGCGCGCCGAGGGAAGGGGCGCGATTTACCTACGGAGTCTATCTCCAGGAGTCGCTGGAGGTCCCGGATGCTGTGGATCTGACTGTGCGCCAGCCTCTCAATGACCTCGCGGGGGATCTCGGCTTCCTGCAAGCATAGCAACACGGTCAGCGCCCGTGGCTGCCCAGAGCGCCTGGTTCCCCACCCGGCCCGCGCCGGCGCCTTGCAGGAAGGCCGCCGGACCCCCAGCCTGGGTCCTGGAGCCCAAGGCCCAGGGTGGGGCTGGGTGAGACCCCCAATCCAATTCTCCGTCCCCATCCGTGTCTGCCCTTTACAAAAAGAAACCGCTCCCCACCTTTAAATGAAACACACACACACACACACACACACACACACAAAACCCACCGGGCCCCTCTGCCCCGAGGTGTCCGTTACAAGAGGTCTAGGGGTAGCGAGGGGCCCGAGGAGTTGCTGGTCTAATAGTGAAATCAACATCGAGAAAGATCAAGTTGAAATGCGTCACGGACCGGCGGCGAAAGTCGCGGCAGCCCTAACACTTTAATCTACCCCGAGGTTTAAATTTCACACCCGGAATCCCGACCAAACCTGCGGGGGAGAGGGTCTGCAAACGCGCGCGCGCACACTCACAGTCGCCCCACCCCGGGCTCCGGCCCAGCTGCGGCCCTAGCGCCGACTAAGACGCCCCAAATCCAGCCGCGACTGGGAGGGGCTGCCAGGGAACGTGAGGGTTAAATATCTATCTCTCGCAGCTCCGGGTCCCATCTCAGACTACCCCCCACTTCTCGGCCTCCCCCTACTCTGTCCAGATTTTTAAAGGGAGTCGGGGGTCGTGGGGGGTCTCAAGCAGTAAGTCCCCACGACGGGGGAGTAGAAAGTCGTTTATCACAGCACAGCTCACGAGGATTCGGAATTCGAGATTGAGGGTGGGGGTGGGGACGCGGGCGGTGGGAGGGCGAGGGCTCTCTGCCCGGCCCCGGCTCGCCTCGCTCAGCCACCTGTAAGCAGGCCCCGAGCGGGCGGGACTGCGCCGGCCCAGCCGCCGCTCCGGGCGTGGGGACCGGGACCCGGGGTCTGCGGCTCCGCGCTGCTCACCCTGCCTTCCGGGGGCTCCCGCTGCAACCGCCCCTACCAGTTTGTCGGCGGCTCTTCCCTCTTCCCCGGCTCCGCCGGTTCTCTCTCTCACACACACCCCCTTCAGCGCGCCCGCACCCCAATGCTGCATTGCCCGCCGCGCCCTAGGTCTCCCTCCTCCGCGGGGAGCCCGCGGCCCCCGAAGTTTCTCCCCACTCGTCCACCCAGCCGCCACTCCGTCCCTCCGAGGCGGAGCGACGCAACACGCTGGAAACTCACCAGACACACTTAGGCATGGCAGAAAATAGAACCCAGTTGGGAAAATTTAAAAACCGACCACCCTAGCAGAAATCAAAATGCGCCCTGCAGAGCCCCGGAGCCCGGGCTCTCGGGCCCGCGGGCGGCCTCAGGGGGCGTGCGCAGGGGAGTCGGAGAAAGGACGGGGCGCGGGGGTGGCACCCACCTCGGCCAGGGCATTGGCGAGGTACCCGCAGCCGAGGAGCAGCAGACAAGCCCAGGTCCTCATCGCGTCCCGAGGCACCGGTGGCTCGGCGGGGAGGCGAGGCCGCGGGGCGGGCGCTCCAGCCGGGCTCCTGTGGCGGCGAAATTCAGTACCATCCCTCAGGGAACGCGGCCCGGAGGAGGGTGGCGCGGAGAGCAGGGAGCCGACGGAGCGCGCCCGGCGCGAGCAGCGAGTGCGGAGAGGCAGGCAGCGCCAGAGAGGAGGAGGAGCAGGGAGTGCGCGCTCGCCGCGCCCGCCGCGCCGGGAGACTCCTGGGCCGCCGGGTAGGGGGTGGGGACGGAAGGGGCGGAGGGCGGGGGCTGGGCCTCTTCCTTGGTGCGTTCCCGGTGCTGGCCGCCGCCGCGCTCGCTCCCCGGCGCTGGCTCTAGGAGCGACCAGGCCGGTAATTCTGCATATTTGCGGGCGTTAGCCCCGAAAGGGACCCCGGAGCGAGGCTGGAGCCGCTGCCGCCGCACCACCCATCACCTGTCTGGACGCCCGGCCAGGCCCGGCGCGGGCTCGCGCTCTCCCTGCGGGCTGCGGGCGGCCCACCTCCCCCTCGCCTCCCCCGGATTCCGGGCCCCGGACCCGCACCTCGGAAGCGCGCGGGGGCCGAACGGGCCGGACAGGGCCCCGCCGCGGCCGCAGTGAGCACACACACGCGCTCGCGCAGGCAGTAAAACCCATCAAGACCCCGGGCCCGGCCCCGAGCACAGCCGCCGGGGCTCCGCGCGCTGCCCGGGGCTCCCCGGGCGCCCCTCCCTCGAGTTTGCCCACCCCCCAGTGCCAGCTGCAGCCCTGCAGCACCGGACGGGGAGGGGAGGAGGCGGCCGCAGAAGCGCCGCCGTCGCTGGCTCGCCTCTCCCGGGCCCCAGCGGCGGCAGAGGGCAGCGCCCAGAGCTGCTACGCCAAAAAGGGCAAAAGCGAGCCGGCCCCCGCCTCCCGCCCCCCGCCCTGGAGCTCCGGCCTCTTTGCACGGTTTGGATCCCGGGCCCCCGGCTCCCCCGCCATAAAAGGAGGGGGAGTGAGGCTCTGGTGAGAGGTGGGGCGGGTTTAGGGGCGCTTCTGGGACACTCACCTGGCGGCTGCCACGCTCCCCCGCCCGGAATCCGATGCCTGGGGTGTCTGACCGAGGAACCTCCACCCACATTCCGGGAGACCAGGGAGCCCCGATCGGAGGAAGGGGCTGCCGCGAGCCTCGTCCCCGCCCTGGGCTCCCGCACCCCCAAGTCCCCGCGCCCTCGTGGAAGGCCTGGCGGCGGTCTGCCAGAAACCCGAGGGCTGGAAAGGAGGAAAAGAAAAGAGCCGCTCGAGAGGAGCCCGGGAGTCCCAGCCTCCCGCGCCGGGATCCTCTGGACGCACAGAGCGCCACCTCCGGCCGCGGCGCCGCACAGAGCGGTGCGGGGGAGCGGCAGAGGGAGGCCGAGGCCTGAGCGGGGCTGGACGGCGCCCACGCCACGGAAGGGCAGCGCGCCGAGCTGGGTCCATCCCGCCTGCCTGGGCTGGTGGGACCGCACGCTGGCGTCGGGTTTCTGGAGGGGCGGAGAAGCCCCGATATCAGGGCTGGAGAGCTTACAAGCCAAGTGACCCCGCAGCTAAACGAGAGGCCATTAAAGGCTAGGGACTGCCAGTGGCTGGGTGGGCTGTGGAAAGAGGACCCCGCCGTCCCGAGCCCTCCACCCCACACCCCCATCCTCCGGGTTAGGCCCCTGCCCCCGCCCAGGCTGCCCTCCCACTAAAGGCAGTAAAGGCGCAGCCCTCCAGGCGTCCTTTATCCTCGGCTCCGCGGGCTTCAGCATTTCAAAGGCCGAGTCCAGTGGGCCCTTGGGGGGCCCTCAGCTTCCCCCAGATTCCGGGGAGGAGGGGTGGGCCCCTCCCCTCCTGAGATTCCGAGAGGGCAGGGTCTCACAGCGCTCAGCTCCCCCAGCGCACCTGCCTCTCTCCCCTGCTAGCCCCGCCTGCAGCCTCCCCTCACCCAAAGCGCGCTCTCGGGGCTCAGAATGTAGGAGGGCTGAGGCAGACCTCGAGAAACCTTGGTACTGTCCTTATCCACCCAAGTAGACTTTCCATCGCATTGGAGGGAGTCCACTGGATGGTTTCCGGAAGGCGGTGAAGAGTACACTGCCTGGACTCAGGCCGGACCCCTGGCGGACCCCAGAGACTTCCTGAGAGTTGACTGCATCACACCTGCTTGAGCGTTGAGTTCCCCACAGGCAGAGGGAACCCGAGGACCCACACGTCTTTGGGGCTGAAGGACTTGGTTTGATAGCGGGTGTGCGAATGAGGAAAGGTCCCCTTGTACTGCAGGGGCTGGGGTGGGGGCCCTTCTGGCTCCGACCTCTGTACAGAGGCTCCCTAGTTCCGGGGTGGGGTCCCACCAGCTTTGAGCAAGTGAGTCGCTCTGTGCCCCATCCCAGCCTGGAAATTCAGGGGTTCCCAGTTTGAATTTGGGACAGAAATGTGGATTTGGGGCAGAAGAGATCTGGGAACATGGAATGGGGGCATCTTCTATGGGAGCCCAGGCCAAAGTTAGGCAGAGAGCAGGCGAGATGGGGGGGTGGGGGGGACAGGACGGGAGGCATCCTTCTAATCGCTGGCGGCTATTAAAAATTAAACCGCGGCTCGTTGTCATAGCGACCACAACAGCGACTGCCCAGGGTGGCACAAACTTATGCAGCCGGTGACAGCCGCTTTTGGGGGAGACTCGGGGCAGACTCACACTGGCCCACCAAGGCCTGCCCTGCAACTAAGGACAGCCAGGCCCCACCCTCCCCCCTCCTCGGAAGAAGCCGGCAGAATTAGATCCCTAGACGGTGCTTCCTAGACCTTGAATCGACTTGACCAAGAATCAACAACCAGGACAGGAACCCACGCGTGCGGGGACTCCCCAGCCCTGGCGCCTCTCTCCGAGGCCCCTTCCCCTTTCAAACCCCGGCGTCCTTATCTCTGGGGAAGGGGCTGAGTGGGGAGGCGGGAGAGGGGACCCTGGGTCCCGAAGCCAGGCATGTGGGGGCTCGGGCACCTGCCCAACCCGCCTGTCTTGCGATCCTGCCCGCTCAGGTGTGGTCACGTGCTCCTTTCTGCCCAGGAATCGAGTTTCACTTCCAGCCGCTATTAGGCGGTTCACACGGTTCACTGCAAACATTTGATAAAGAGGCTAAATATACTTTGGAGTCGGAGGAGGCGTGGGCGGTCTTGCAGAGCGCAAGGGCGGGGCTCCTCGGGGCATCCCCGCCCAGGCTGAGAGTCCGGCTCGGACCCAGACCAATTCCCGGTTCCCGGTTAGGGATCCCAGGCCCAGGACACACGGCCCTGGCAGGCTGTGGGCGCCCCCTTGGCAGCCAAAGGCCCCTAGGCGGAAGAAGGGGGCGCTAGGGGGGAGCTCCAGGGAGGGTAAGTGCTGGTGGGAGGTGAAGGCGCACCTGGCAGCCCGGGATGTCCGGTCGCCCCCGGAGCGGGTGCTTCCGGGCTATCTCCAGCGTCCCCGGCGGCGCGCCCCGACGTGCCACGGACCCATAATTAAGGTGAGTCAGGTGCTACAAATAGGTGGAGAGAGGGACTCCGGGTGCAGCTGGGTGACTGCGCGTCTGCCCCTCGCTGGTTCCTCTGGGCACCGCCCATGACCCCCCACCCACCCACGGAGGAGCGGGAAGGGCCTGGCCGCTCCTGGAGAGGGGCCGCCTTTATTAAGGACCTGAGATCAGCCCAGGACCCTTCACCCTACAGCCCACCTCCCCGCCTGTGCAGCGCCGACCTGGGACCTGGCACCAGTTGGCACTCCGTTGTTGCTATCATCCTTTTTTTGTTTTTTGCAGTGGGAGTCATGACTAACGTCCACAGGGACACCTCGGTTTCTGAGTGGCCCCTGGGGGTGGAGAGCTGCCCCCCCCCACCTTACAGATGCCAGGAAGCTGGGCACTGCCTGCAGCCCCAGAGCGCAGCCCTGGGCAGTCACTCCTGGGCCAGCTCTACCAGTGCTGGGGGTGGGGACTGTCTCAGGCCAGCTGGCCCTGCAGGTTTCAGGCGGGCACGAAGGATGATGTGGCCTCCTGGCAGTGAGGGCCTCAGGGCTGGAGCCCACCCCTGCTCGATCCCCCATCCTAAAGGGCGCTAGCTGCCTTCTGCCCCTTGACCTTAGCTTTGCTGGAGCGGTTTGTCCCCGCCCTGCCTTGAATCTGTTCTCTCATCTGAAGAGTGGGGGCCAGCAAGCTTGCTGTGCACAGCTGTCTCCCACCACCCAGCCCCCTGGCTGGGGGGGGAGCATCGCCGCGCACACGCACCTGTAGGGCCTGGGACCCCAGGCTCGGGCACAGCTGCCTCCGCCTGGGTGGCCAGCTGGGCGTCCAGACCCAGGTCTCTGCCCACTGCCAAAGCAGACCTCAGAACAATTTGTCATGATGAAACACCACATTTCCCTTTATCTCTGGGCAAGGATTTCTTGGTTCAGGGCAATTAATCCAGGAGCGGCCTCAGCTGAGTGGGCAGCTCTCCTTGAAGATCAAAAGTGCCAGGCGGGTGTTAATTAAGTCATCATCTCAGCCGCCCCAGGCCCGAGTTCAGGATCAGGCCTTTCCAGTCCAGCCTCCCTATGCTCAGCGTTGGTTTTAACTCCCTATTAAATATTTTCCTGTTAAACACACAAACCACAATGAAGTTTTACATACCATATGGGCCCACAATCATTCTATGAATATTTTGTGAATGAAGACCTCTGGGAAGGGGCACTTGTGGGCTTCAGGAATCAAGGCCAGACCTGGTCTGTCTAGGATGGGAGCCTCCTGCCACAGGAGGCCACTGGGCGTTTGACACGTGGCTGGTATGTGCTATTCGTATAAAATACACACAGCCTCCAAGACTTGGTATGAAGATAAAGAATGTAAAATTTTTCATTGGCAATTTTTACATTAGTTACCTGCTGAAATGATAACATTTTTGATACATGAATTCAATGAACTGTATTATTGCAATTAATTTCACACATTTGTTTTTCCTATGTTTAATGTGGTGGCTAGAAAATTTAAAATACTGTGTGTGGCTCTAGTTATATTTCTACTGGACAAGGCTGGTCTGGGCATCCAGAGTTCGCATCTCCTCGGTGGAGCCAAGCTGGTGAGTGTGAGTAGGGTGGGGGTGGGGCGGAAATCCTGCCCTGGAAAGCCCAAGAACTTGGAGACCAGAACAACCCAGGGCTTGCTCTGCCCACCA